CCAAGTTCCTACCTCCCCTCCCTGGACACATAACCAAGGTTATCAGTTTTCCCTGTGTCCTGACAGCCAGAATCTGTGCACAGAGAAACACGAATGTTTTCTTTTTCTAGAAGTAGTAATACATACTGTATTTCACACGTGTGCATGTGCATCTGTAGGATCAGTTCCTGGAGGTGAATTGCTGGGGCAAAGGCTGTACGTACTAGTAGTGCTACCTGCTTTACCAGGTGGTGCTACCACCTGCCGTTTACAGGTAGACAGCTCTACCTGTTTTACTCTGGCAGTGTGCAAGAGTGCCCATTGCCCTGCACGCTCGTAAACACCGTGTATCATCATCAGAGTTTTGTTTTCGGGCTACGAGTCTCTGCTAGATCCAACTTTTTACTTGTTGCCCATCCGATCGGCCAAAAAATTGTACCACACTTCTTACCACTTTAATTAGCATTTTTCTTATGATGAGGAAATGTGACCAGCTTTTAATTTTTAAGAATCATTTGTATTTTCCTCTGAACTATCTGCTCATTTCCTTTGCCCATTTTTTCTATTGATCTGGAGAGCTTTTTCTTAATAATTTATAGGCACTCTGTAATTTTAAGAAAATTAGCTCTTATAATGATAGTGATTTTTCTGAGCTTATTCATGTCGTGTGTGTGTTTTTTTTTCCAATCAAATTGCTTCTGCATGTTTTATATAATCACATGCATCGGTGTCTTTTTATGGGGCATACCTTTTTTAAAACTCTATTTGTGAATAATTAGAGATTCATTGGCACTTGCAGAAATAGTGTAGAAACGCCTGTGTACCCTTCCCGCGGTTTCTGTGAAGGTCACATCTTACAGAATTTACAGTATAATATGGAAAGCAGGAGGTGGGTGTCGATACAGTGAGCGTTGTTCTCTGCCATTTTGTCACGTGTGTAGGTGTATGTAGGCACCACAGCAGTCAAACGTAGACCTGTTCTGTCACCATAAAGGTCTACCTCCTGAACCTCCTGTAGAGTCACCCCCTGCCCACACACGAAGCCCTGGCAGCCATTGATCTGTACTTCAGCTCTATAATGTCATTTCGAGAATGTTTGATAAATGGAATCACATAGTATGTGACTATTTAAGACTGACTTTTTTCACTCTGCCCCTCATCCCTTTTCTGCCTTGGACGCCAATCACCGATTCTCCGTCTCCTCATTGGGAGTGGGGTTTTTCTGCTTCTCTCCAGGCCTGGTTGTTTTTGATCAAACGCCAGACATGATTTTCCCTTGGGTGCGGGATATCTTCGTAGTCCTAGACATATCTGGATGCTGGAAGCAGTTGGATGCTTTAGAGTCTGGCTCTGAAGATTTGCTTACACGGGTCCTCTCAGGGTCGGAGTCCTTTTTCTCCACATTACCGGGGCAAGACCCTTCTGGGCGCCCTGCCCGATGCCTCCCGAATTGTGAGGTGTGCCATTCTGGCCAGCGGGGACAGCCGCTAGTGCCCGTCCCGCTCGAGCGCTGCGCATCGTCACCTTTCATCCTCTCGGGCAGTCCTCCCCGCGGCCTCGCGCAGTTTCCTCACACGCTGTGCTGCTCAGGGGTCCTCCTCCCACCCCAGAATAGTCAGCGGGACCTCTGCGGACACGAGGGTCCTCTCCCCCTGCCGCTCCCTCGCTCCCTTCTCCCCGCTCCTCTGCCCGCCAGCTCCAGCTGCTGGACTGTCCAGTCCACCTTCTATACCCAGGAAGCCGGCTGGGCTCTGCCTCAATTCCCCTTCCTGCTCTGTGGTGGGAAGTTCTCCCAAAGGCTCACCTCATTCATTCCCCATCTTCTGGCCTTCCTGTTTCAAATCTGTTATCCAGTTTGTTTCTTTGTTTGTTTCAGGCGGGAGGATAAGTCCAGTTCTTGTTAATCCATCTTAGAAGCAGAAAGCCCATTCATTGGTATTTAAATAAACAACCCAAAACAGACTTTGCCAAAATGAAATTCCCAGAACATAACTATATAAAAGATGTTTATTATTGTGATTATATAGCATAACTTCAAAGTGAAACGAGTCCATTCCCAAAATGAATGGACACACCGTTTCACATTAATGCACTTAGACATGAAAATGACTGTCAGGCGTTTACTGGGTGCCAGGCACGAGGCTCAACACCTTGCGTGGATTACATCTTTTGCTCCTCACTGCTTCGTGAGCTGGAATCCCCCTAGTCTGCAGCTGAAGAAATGGGTTTAGAGAAGTTAAGTGGCTTCTCTTGGCATTTGAAAATAAAAAAAATTTTCTTTAAAGTATTCTTTCTCAGACCTAGTTGTATATGAGGATAACTGCGTTTTAATATAATTTGCTGGAAAACAAGCCAGCATTTCACAGTTTAGCAGCAGCAGAAGGGGACAGCTTCTTATCTCTGAGTTCAACTCTCATCTCAAGTTAGAGCCATGGAATTATGGGAAATTTCTATTTCTAGGACAAAGGAAGAGAATATTCTTTTGGGGGATACTTCTAGACAAACGGTGAGACTAAACTAGGGGTCTTTGTTCATTTGGTTCTGAAACCACCCTGGTTGTTGACAGTGGCCGCCTGCCAAAGAGAAATCAAATGAATTTTGAAAATCTCGTATTTCTTTTTCAAAAATAGGAGTAGGACGGAGCTAGAGACAGGATGGAAGAGTACTCAAAATGTGACTTCCAAAGATTTAGAAAAGTTTTTCATATAGCACAGTGATAAGTTTTTGAACGATCAGACAGCCAAATTGGAATAAGAGAATGTGATGATATGGTAATGGAAACAGAATGGATTCCATTTAAAAAAAGAACCCCTCTGGTTTTAAATGGGAAGTCTAGGAAATTCCAGGTATCAGCCTTATTTCATCCTTTTATTGACATTAAATCGTAATGGGTTTGTTTTAAACCTCAGCATACTTTCTAAGCCCTTATTAACATCACAGATTTCGTTCCCACAAGTTGGAAATACCTTGACAGACACACAGGTTGGCGGAACTGACAGGTCGGCCCATGAGAGTTGTGGGCTGGTATCATTCCCATCCTCATATTACTGTCTGGCCTTCGCATGTTGGTAAGTATCACGGGACTGCAATGTTCATTGTTCTTAGAAATGGATATAATTTTCCTTCTCCATTGCATGAGCTATGGTTACTTGCACCCGAAATTTATCCTTAAGCAGGTGTCCTTATTTTTATTTTGCTATGTTTTAAAAGTAAAGACGTATGTCACGTTGATTGTTTTTAATAGAGAGAAAATTTCAGCACTGCATTTTTGATTATTCAGGAAATCAAGATGAACTAAAGCCTTACAATGGGCTGATATATATATATACATATACATATATATGTATATATGTATATATAATATGTATATGTATATATATTAAATTAAAATATATAGTTTACATATCTGTGTGTGTGTGTGTGTGTCTGTGTGTGTGTGTAAACTCTAACTGAAAGTTGCTGGTTGCTGAATACTACTGCCCAATACACTCCCATTGGTGTGAAGGGTGAAATTTACCAAGCTGGTGTTTACAACTCTGTTTATCACGCACTCCATCCTAGCTGTTGGGACTCTCAACCTACCTCCCCACGCCTAATTGGTATAATGTTACAAAAATGTTTTCCCTTTTTTTTTTTTTTTAATCTTTACCCCTTTGCCTTAATCATGGTCTCTTTTTGTCTCTACCCGACTCTCGAAAGAAGTAGAATAACTTTAGCAAAGTAAAATAACGTTCTTGAGCATTTAACTATGTGCTGCCCGTTTACGAACGTTTTCTTGTCTAATCCTCATGGTAAACCTGTCAGAACTCTTCCCCTCATTGTACATAGAGGCTCACAGGCTTAACTCAGCGGCAGAGCTGAGGTTTGAACCCGGGTCTGCGTTCCAAGTGTGTGCTCCTTCCAGTGATGTTCTATTTGTAGTCATACGGGCTTGAGTTGATCGCAGATTTTCTGTTCATCTGCGCTGTAATACGAACGCAGAGACAACAGCAATGCAGTCTCAGGCTCTAATAGCAGATGAGTGGCCCTGTATCGCAGAGTAGTGACTCCGCGTGTGCGGAGGGATGCTTCTCAGAGTCAGCTGGCAGAGCTTTTGGGAAAACGTATCCGCCCTAAATGCATCTTCCCCAGCCCGGACCCACTGTAAGAACCTCTGGGAGTGCATCCTAGGTGGGTTGATTGTGAAAAAGCTGGAGGGATTCTGGTGCGTAGCCCTAGTCGATCCCTGATTCAGAGTAAGGGAGGTAATGCACGGCGCTGTTTCACACCTGACCCGGTGACGTAACACCGGCGTAACTAAGATGTCCTGTATTAACACAAAAAAGTATCATCAAAGCAGTGTTTTCAATGGAAAGGAAAAAGTGTGAAGCTGGAACGTGCGATACCAAGCATAGACGTGTTTTTAACTTTTATTCCGACAGATTTTGAGAGTTAAAGTTGGCGAAGCAGTACAAAGAATGCCTGAATACTTTCCCTAGGTTTGTCAAATGTTGACATTTCCCAACATTTGCTGTGTCATTATCTCTATATACATGCGTATATGTATGTGTGTGTATCTGAGTGTATTTTTTTTCCTGAAGTATTTGAAAGTAAGTTGCAGCCAGTATTCTCCTATACCCCTAAATACTCTTTCGTGTGAATCTCCCAAACACAATGATATTATATAACTACAGTGCCTTTATCAAGATTGAGAAATTAACATTGCTACAATACTATTATTGAAATTACTGACCTTACTTCAATTACTGACGGTTTTAAGATTCTTTAATTGGCTCACTAATGTCCCAATAAAAGTGGTTTTTATAGCTATAAATGTATTCCTGTCAAGTCTTCATATCACTGAATAAATTCAGTGTTTGATCGCACCTAATTTTTTACTCAATAAAAACAGCTATTGTTTTCCCGCCATCATCAACACTAAAATCAGTCTGTCCTCAAATTTCTCCTATGACAGTGCCAAGGGCCAGAAAGAAATAAGTGGAGCATGGGTTCCTGAACAACTATTGTCACTATGGTAATACGTTAGAATGGAAAAGGTATAAAATTTTGTGGTAAGAAAAACACTCGGGAGAAAAACATTATCGGTTTCTGCAGTGGAACTCCCAAAAGGCGTTCCGAGTTCAGGGAATGATTGAATTTTCCTTGCAGGAGCAGAAGGTCCAAGCCCGTTAAACAAGAACCCCGGGAGGCATTCACAATGCAGCAATAAGAGCAGTTAGGAAAACAAAGATACTGCAGAATGTAACTAGAAAAAAAAATCAGCTCTAAATCCTGAAATGATTAAAGAGCCAAATGAAAATAATTCAGCACGAAATAATCTGGAGACTGGAACATTGAGTTCTTACCCGGAGATAATAAGACTTAAGTGGGTGAGCAAAAGGGACAGATGAGAGAAAATGTAATCAAAGCTGTGCTCGAAGACACTTCTAAGAGTGTTAAGTTTTTAAATGGAATATAGAAAGTTCAGAGAGTTATCAGACCATGAGGGTCGGGAACACGAGCTTTGGATTCTGCTAGGAAACAGGTCTGTGTTATAATCTCGTTTCAGTCACTAATTGAGAAGATCTTTTAGCCTCTCTGAGCCTGCGGTTCCCTCTCTGACAGAAATGGAGAAATAGTATCTCTCAGAGGCGTTAGGAGCAGTATATTAAGCCATGTATATGGCATTTTGTCCCATGCTTATCACAGTACCAAAGATGGACACCAAAACATTTATTTGGAAAACTGGAGGACACACACACACACACACACACACACACACACACACACAGAGACACACACACACAGAGTATGATTAAATGTCTAAAATTGAAGGGCAGGGAACATTAGAAGGATTAAGAAGAACACATCAGATCTGTCAACTGAGATCTCAAAATATTTGTAGTAATAAAACTATGGATAGGACTAAAGAGAAAATAATCTCCCAGCTAAGCTGGCGTTCATGATGCAAAGATTATTCTGGATTCCCAGAGCCTATGGGACTTTGTAGATGCAAAGATACAACTCATCTCCAAAATAGGTTCAAGAATTGAGTCAGATGGGCCCTGTATTAGCAAGCCTCGGGGAAAAAAAATGAGTGATGAATAAAAACAGGTCGATTCCTGTTCTTAGTAGGAAAAGAATTCTAAGCTATGTTAAAGACTGGCAAGGGAAAAGGAACGAATTTTTTTCCAGTAAAGAAAAGGTAGGGAGGGAGAGGGATGTGATGATGATGATGATGATGATGATTGTGTGTGTGTGTGTGTGTGTGTGTGTGTGTGTGTGACAAATTTTAATGCTTTTGATGATAACAGTTAGTAGAATTAAGTTCTAGTGGGTTAAATAAGATAGCATTCTAAACACATTTTAAAAGGATTATTACATAAATGATTATTCAAATGTACTGGCTACCTGTATGGAATAACATCATCATGATTTCTGCTGTCTTGGACCTTGTGATTTTGTGAGGAAGAAAAAACCAAGTACTAAAGAGAAAACAAAGAATGATAATGATAAGGAAGAAATAGAACATTTCACCGGCCAATTTACAAAGGGTAAACACCTGTAAAAATAAAAGCCTCAGGATTAAGATATAATAATATGTCATTAAAGACAAGCTACAAACCTAAAGACTTGAACGAAATGTAATGGGCTAGGTTAAGCTCTATGGAGAAAATAAACATGGCAGGATTAGCAAAGGGTGAGTGAGAGAAGAGAGAAGATTCTGTAACAAAAGCACAGTAAATAATGAAACTCTAACGATGTTCAGTTATGTTCCCCACCGTAGCGCTAAACTGTCCAAAGGACGGTTTTCCACGTAAGGAATGGAAATTGTAGCGGAAATAGAAGAGCTTGACAACCCGCTTTCAGAATCTTATTCCTTCAGGAGCATAAAAGTGAGTGTTTTGGCTTTGGGTTGGTTTGCAAAGGCGGGGGCGCCGGGAGTCGGACACTGACCGTAAGACTTTTAAAACTTGATTTTAAAAGATTAGACTTACAGAAACATGGCAAGAATAGCATCAAGAAGCAGATTCGACCATTGTTAACCTTTTGCTGAATGTGTTTTATCCATTTCTGTCTGTAAGCCCTCAACACACACACACACACACACACTGGTTGAGAGCAACTTATTTCTCAAGAACAAGGATGTGCCCATCCCTAACCACAGTGCAGTTATCACAATCAGGAAACCTGACCTTGCTATAACCCGATTACGTGACCTGCAGACCTTTTGCAAGTTTTGCCAGTTATGTCAGTTCTGTCCTCTATTGCAAAATTTTCCTTTCCAGTCCAGGATCCAGCCTCAGCTCCTGCATGGCATTTAGTCTCATGTCATTTCGGTCTCAATCTGAACCCGTGTCTCATTCCCAAAGCGCTAAACTCCCCACTTCCTCGTTCACTTCCTACTCGAACAGAGAAACAGGAGCCATTGGAAGGGCATTTTCTCCATTTCTCTTTACTCGCCTGCTTATCACTGAGTCCATCATCTCCTTCTCCCTCCTTCCAATAGAGACCGTGTCCTTCGCCTTAGCTAATGCCCATCCGTCCACTCCCCTCAGGTTTTGCCTCCCACGTTCTCAAGACCCTCACAGCCCTTCGTGATGCTTCTCCCCCCTACGTCTCTAGCCCTTTCCGCTGCACCGGATTCGTCCCATCATTGATTTGTTCCTTCAGCAAATAAGTTTGAGCGTCTGCTGTGCGTCTGGCCATCTTCAAAGCGCTGGGCATAAAGCCGTGAGGGAGAGAGACATGCTCTCTACCTTGACGGAGCTTTCAGATACGCTCATACCTCACACGTGGAAGAAAACACGACAGAAGACAACTTGTCCCCTTCACGCCAAACTCAAAGAGATAGTTACACTTAGGCTTTCTCGCCATTCACCCACACTCGTCACCTCATTCTAGTCTGGCTTCCGGCCCATCACTGTTGAAGTGGAACTTGCTAAATCATCAGTGACATCCATGTTGAAAGTCTAGTGACCATATGAAGTCTACAGCTTACGTAGCATTTGACCCCGCAGCTGCTCTACTTAAAGAACGCTTCCCAAGCAATCAGGAAGAGTGCATGGCTCTTAAGGGAAGAAGTTAAGCTGCGGCTCAGAGTCAAAATACAGTGTCCAAAACCAGAGGCCTAACGCAGATCGCTTCAGTGTCTGAACTGAGGTTTGTATGACTCTGGGGCCCGGGCGTTCTCCACCGTGTCACTTGGACTGGTTAAGTGGGAATGCGATTTATGAGTAGGAAACG